GAGCTTATATATAGCTACATGTCATCAAAACACATGAATCAAACTGTCTGTTATCGTCAAGTATTAATTGTACGTATTAATGCAGGGCAGGACCATGACTCCTTTTATTCCACTACCCTGACCCTTCCCAACCTCTTTTAACCACTATTTTATATTCAGGTAGACCCTTTTTAGGAGCTGTGTCTGGCTTATTTAATATACTATTTATAAATTCAAAAGTAAAATTGAAAAATCCAAAATCATAGTAGGTATATTAAATAAAATTGTCTCAAAAATTTTCAGATTCACCAATGACATTCTTCATAGAACTATAAAAAGCAATTATGAAATTCATTTGGAAAAATAAGAGCCCCAGAATAGCCAAAGCAACCCTTAGCAAGAAGAGTGAAGCAAGAGGCATCACAGTACCAGATATTAAACTATACTACAAAGCAATAGTAACAAAAACAACATGGTATTGGCACCAAAATAGACATGTAGACCAATGGTACAGAATAGAAAACACAGAGACGGATCCACATAAATACGGTTATCTCATTCTGACAAAGGCGACAAAAATATTCATTGGAGAAAATCCTCTTCAACAAATGGTGCTGGGAAAACTGGAAATCCATATGTAGCAAAATAAAATTAGACCTTTATCTCTCACMCTGCATAAAACTCAACTCAAAGTGGATCAAAGACTCAGGAACTAGAACAGATATTCTGCACCTAATAGAAGAAAAAGTAGGCCCAAATCTTTATCATGTCAGTTTAAGACTTGACTTCCTTAACAATATTCCTAAAGAGCAAGAAGTAAAATTAAGAATCAATAAATGGATGGATTCAAACAAAGAAACTTCTTCTCAGCAAAGGAAATAATCAAGTATGTGAAGACAGATCCTACAGAATGGGAGAAAATCTTTACTACATGCACATCAGAGCACTAATCTCCAGGATATATAAAGAATTCAGAAAACTTAACACCAAAAAAATAAATAACCCAATCAATAAATGGGCTAAGGAACTGAACAAACACTCACAGAAGAAGATATATAATCAATCAACAAATATATGAAAAAAAATGTTCAACATCTCTAGCCATTAGAGAAATGCAAGTCAAAACTACTCTAAGATTTCATTTCACTCCATTCAGAATGGCAATTATCAAGAATGCAAGCAACAATAAGTATTGGTGAGGATGTGGGGGAAAAGGTACACTCATACATTGCTGATAGGACTGCAAATTGGTGCAACCACTCTGGAAAGCAGAAAGAAAACTTTGAATGGAAACACCATTTGACCCAGCTATCCCTCTCCTCATTTTATACCCAAAGGACTTAAAATCAGCATACTACAGTAGCAGAGCCACATCAATGTTTATAGCAGCTCAATTCTCAGTAGCTAAACTGTGGAATCAATCTAGATGCCCTTCAACAATAAAGAAAGAAAATGTGGTTTATATACATAATGGAATATTATTCAGCTTTAAAGAAGAATAAAATCATAGCATTTGCCAATAAGTGGATGGAGCTAAAGAATATCATGCTAAATGAAATGAGCCAATCCCCCCAAAAAACAAAGTCCAAATGTTCTCTTTGATATGTGGGTGCTAACACAAATTAGACAAAGGATTAGATTAGACAAAGGGAATGAAGGGAAGGGAGAAGGGATGGGACTAGGAAAGATAATAGAATGAATTGGACGTAACTTTCTTATGTTCGTATATGAATACACCACCAGTGTAACTCCACATTGTGTTCAACCACAAGAATGGGATCCTAATTACAATAGGTTATACTCCATGTATGTATAATATGTCAAAATATATTCTACTGTTATGAATATGTAAAAAGAACAATTTTTTTAAAAGTTAAAAAGGAAAAATTCCTGGGAGATTATTTGCCTGAGATATCCTTCTGCTTCCATGCTATATCCTTAAATTGTAATTAATCAATACTGTGCTTCCCTCCTGAAGACAAGTTCATGTAGGTTCTCTGATTTAGAAAGATTTTATTGCAAACACATTAACGTGAATGGCATTTTGCCCAGCGATCTTTCTAACCTCAGCTCATATTCAATCCCTCGGTTCCCTCATCTGAATCCCACAGGGTAGCCAAAGGGTCTTAATTGATGTTGTCACTTAGCAGTAGGAAAAACCCTGATACATGATGAAGAAAATCTTTCTGCTCACCTTCTTTGATAGTTATGGCCAGCTGGCTTTTCTAAGTTCCAGCTGATACTCTATTACCTGAAACCTCCTTGTTCATAATAAAATTATTGTTCCCCACTTCAAAAACATGTTAGCTATCAGATTTACAAAGAGTAAGCTTTTTGTTTGGTGAAACAAAATGGAATCTTTGGGGTCATGTGCTTTTTTTCCTGGTGAATAAGGAGCCCTTGTTGGGTTTTGGTTACTGGTTATTCCATCAATATAATCTATTGTTTCGCACAGAAAGTGTGACATTCCATGGGCTTTCCTAAATAGTGTTCCTTCTTGTCTGTACTCCGATAAGTAATCAAATAACAATAAACGCATTTCCAAAGTCATACCTGAGAATTTCTAAAGCCTGGGATGTAGTGACCTTTTGGTGATAAAAATGACAAAGCTGAGTTTGAGCCATCACTTTCAGGGTTAAATAATCCCAAGGGTGGTTCATTATATCCTGAATTCACAGAAGAGAAACCAATTGCCAGGTTGACTTATCCATCTTTTTTTTTAAAAAAAAAAAAAAGGAAAAAAAGAAAAGAAAAGTAGTTCTCATGGCTGTAAAACAGCTACAGATTGCTTTCTTTGCACCCGTGAGGAGCCGACAGGGCCCCAGATGGAGGTGTTTTTCAGCAAGCTGTCAAGAGATCCATCCATCAAAAACAGCCGCATCACCCAGCTGAGTTTTCTTTCCCTGCCAAGATTTGTATTGAGTCAATTGGGAGAGGCCAGAGTAAGATGAACGCAGGAAAATCAAAGGTCAGAGAAATAAGTACCAGAAATGGAAGACATGAGATCACATGTAAATTCCAAAGGTTCTATTTAGAGTTGTTTTACGGTGACTTAAATTTTTTTCTCTCTTCTACTTTCTTTTATTCTTTCCAGAAATATGGACTTCATGACATTGACACTGAGAGGTGGTTTTGTGTGATTTGAGAAAACCAAAGCTGCAAAGATGTACTAGAGTAGTGCCTAAAACACACTGAGTTATTGTCACAAAGCCAAGGGCCTTTTCATTCATAGAACTAAAGAAAGTAAAATGGGATCCTTTGAAATTACAAAGTGAAAGTGAAAGTAAATACCCCCCCCCTCCAAATCCTGCCCAATCAATCTGGAGGTCACCTGGGGTCTGATGTTGTCCACTTTAGCTTTACTTCATCTCTGGAACTGCTACTCTTCTAAGAAGTAAAACCATGTAAAAGCATGCAAATTCCATCCTTATTCCTGGTGCATATTTGAAGCTGGAGAGACAAGTTGTGGGTGAGCTGGTAGGGTTTTTGTTGAGAATATACATATACACATGCACATGCATATCCACACTATCTTAAGTCATTGTTAAATGCCATAGAAAGTCATGAAAATTATTATTCCTATTGCCCTTTATTTACTTAATTTTCCCATTTCCTTTTTTCAAACATTTTTTTTTTTTTTTAGTTGTAGATGGACACACTATCTTCAGTTATCTCTTTATTTTTATGTGAGGCTGAGGATTGAACCCAGGGCCTCAGTCATGCAAGGCAAGTGCTCCCCCACTGACCCCCAGCCCTAGCCCCCCATTTCCTTTTTAAGGCAGTAATTCTCAGTAATGTCCTTTATGAAACCTATTAATTTTTGGGGGGGTGAGGTACTGGGGAACCAGGGATTGAACTCTGGGGCACTTGACCACTGAGCCACATCCCCAGCCCTATTTTATATTTTATCTAGAGACAGGGTCTCACTGAGTTGCTTAGCACCTCGCTTTGGCTGAGGCTGGCTTTGAACTTGCTATTCTCCTGCCCCAGCCTCCCCAGCCACTGGGATTATAGGCATGTACCACACCGTACCAGGTCAACCATTAATAATTAATAAGCATCTACTCTATGCAAAAAACATTGAGTAGTTGTGATGGTTATATGCTAGAGCTATGCTCTGCAACCCATGAAACACCTGGAAATTAATGATACCTGCCTGGCAATTTAGGAAAGGAGTGGCCCCCACTGAGAATTCTCTGGCACACACGGAAGACCTCAAGTCATCTTAGGCAATTCTGGGCCTTTACAAAAACAATAAAAATAAAACACCTAATAGCATGTTCAATCATCCTTTCAATGGTGGGAAAATATTGATGGTTATTAACCGTGGTTTGAAGCTTCAATCAGTTTAAAAACTTTGCAGCCACCAATATCCCATGGCACACCTATAAGCCGTTGTTGGCCAGCCTGTTTCCTGTTTAGCTGGGAGACTCTGTATAATAGAAACGAGTTGTCCCACAGAGATGGGGAAAGAATCCAACTCAGGAACTTTCCATAGCGTATGGATTCTGCATGTCGTCTCCCTAAAAGTCACATGCTTTTTAAGTGTCAAGATAAAACAATGCGGGGCTGGGGTTGTAGCTCAGTGGTAGAGCGCTTGCCTAGCACTTGTGAGGCCCTGAGTTTGATCCTCAGCACCACATTAAAAAAATAAATAAATAAAATAAGGATATTATGTCCATCTACAAGTAAAAAAAAATATTTAAAAAAAAATGGGCCCTTGGGATGTAGCACTTTGTGCAGTGTTTATCTAGCGTGTGCAAGGTCCTAGGTTCAATCCCCAATACCTCAAAATAAATAAACAAATGGTTCTTAATTTTATAGTCTTCAAAAACTGATGAAATACCAAATTGTTTTGAGACAAGGAAAAGAGACCCAATGTAATTAGAGACTAACAAAAACTTACTGGTCAGTGAAGTTTTGCTGCTTTTCTTAAGGGCAGAGGCAGTTTCTTAACAGGTAAGAAAGGGATAGCTGTTATCTTTATTTTTAAAAAGTAAATATCATCTCTTTTTTTATAGTGATAAGGTGATAAGACTTATTCCCAAAACAGAAGAGGAAACATATGCACTGAAGAAAATACATCACCAATTCAAGGTAACAGAATATCCGCTTGGGGTAGAATTAAGCTTGTGGTTGTTTATGGGGCTTTGCTGACTGCACCTAAATAATTGGTATTAATTATCCAGGAGAGGTAAATGCAGAGATACTTTGAAAAAGCATTTAAAGCATTTAAGTTTAGGCTGCTCAAAAAAAAAAAAATCTTAGCTAGGCACGGTGGCACACGCCTGGTAATCCTAGCTGCTCAGAGGCAGGAGGATTGTGAGTTCAAAGCCAGTCCCAGCAAAAGTGGGGCACTAAGCAATTCAGTAAGACCCTGTCTCTAAATAAAATACAAAAGAGGGCTAGGGATGAGGCTCAGTGGTTGAGTGCCCCTGGGTTCAATCCCCAGTATCCCTCAAAAAAAAAAAACAAAAAAATCTTTGAAAATTACACAAAAAGAGATGAAACTATTAAAAATTATGTAAAACATAGTTTAGTAGTTCACTTATCCATCTCCCAGGTAGAATGTAAGCTTCATGAGAGTTTGTCTATTTTTACTCATTTCTTGTTCCTCAAGGCTGCCTGTAATATCCTAGAAATTCTGTAAATGTCTTGTTTTGCTTTATTTTGTTTCCTTTAAGGAATGAGTGAATTTAGCTTATAGTTTTCAGAACTTCGCTTTTCCTTCTTGCAATCATCCTACGGATCAGCAAGATACTTTCCTCCTAATTAAAACTTTAGGCAGAAGTGAGTTGAGGAAAATACAACCTAGAAATGCGAGTTAATTATGTTGCTATGTTTCAGTGGGTCGGATAGGAGAATCTGGCTGGCAACGTTTGAAGGCTGTGATTATATCATCTCTGATGAATTTTATGGATTTAGAGTTTCTCATTTCTCCATCACTACCTATAATTGAGTGTTAGCTTTAACTCAAAAGTTATAAGAAATGTGGCAAGGAGCTGTTTTCCATGCCTACCAAAACACAAGCAGGCTTTTAAAATTACATGGTGATTAGGCTTCATTTTAACAAATGGCAAAGCTGATTACCAAAGCAGCATCATTAATCTCTAATATGAGACAGAGAAATATTTTTCTAGATGATGGAAGTACAGTGCTGCCTGGAGAAAGTGTTAGGGGATAAGAGAGCAGGGATAAACATGATGGTTTCTAGAGGTAATTGTAGTTACCATATGTTTGGTCTTTTATTTATGGTTTGATTTTTCTCTTTTGTACCTTCCCTTTAAATATCATTTATTTACAAACAAAGTTTTTTAACTTTGGGTTTACTGGTTCCTTTCCTTCTTTCTCATCCTCAGCCCTGACCCAAGCAGTGTCCATTTTCAAGCATTGGCATCTCCATACCCCTCCCCCCAAATTGTGGTTCTTTTACCCAATATCTGAGAGACTGTGCTCCCTGGGCTTTTCCTAAACCTCCTTTCCTCCTTGAAGGACTCTCTACTTCTGTGATGCTGACATTAACCCTTTCTGGTCATGTATGATCATCAACCCCACCATGTCCTCTTTGGCAGTATATCTGAACTCTCTGTAACCAGTCCTGCAGGATCTTAAGAGTTGCAATGAAGTAAAGAAAGATTGGAGTAGAAGTTTCCATTTCCATTGAAATTGTGTTTAAATATACCATTGGAAAAAATGAAATAGCCACTTTTATTTTAGACTCATGTTTTAGAGAACAGATTTTCTGAACCAAATATCAGAACAAAGGATTTTTCTCCAATTTGTGAATCTATTTACATGATAGGCCAAAGCTATGAGACAAATATACAGAGCTATGGAAATGAATTTGCACATGATGATCACTCACCATTTTCAAAAGCAGTAAAATCATATCAGTGAGAATTATTAGGGTTGCTTATAAACTCTCAGAAACCATCACAGATGAAAGATGTTGAGCATAGATAGCACTGATAACTTTACATTTATATTAGGCCCTATAATTTCCATTTTGTCCTTAAAGAAAGGTAGTCAAGTGAGGGGTTTAGTGGACCACTGTGAGAAGGGAAGAAGAGGGTACTGGTAAGAAAGTGTGGAGGAAAGTGACAGGAAGAAGGGAGTTAATATCAGAACCCTGGCAGGTAAGGTGGTGCTTGACTGAAATCCCAGCTACTCAGGAGGCTGAGGCAGAAGGATCACAAGTTCCAGGCCAGCTTAGAGTGAGATTCTATCTCAAAACTTAAAAAAAGAATTTAAAGGAATGGGATAATAGTCAGTGGTAAAGTTCTTGCCTAGCATCGACAAGATGCTGGGTTCAGTCCCCAGCACCACCAAAAAAAAAAAAAAGATGATGATAATGATGATAAGACCAAGGATGCTCCAGTAATTCCACTCCATGGATCATTACATCAGCCCTTTTCAGTCACTGTGAGCCTGCCACACAGGGTTATATGCTTTCTATAAACTACCTCATGTTGACAAGCCTATGAAGTGGGTACAATTATTATTGCTGTTTTCCAGATGAAGTAACTTAGAAAGAAAGACAGAGGTGAAGTAAGTTGCCCCGTCTTGGTGCAGAATTGGAATAAGCAGCCAGGCAATGCCAGCCCTCCAAGACCTCTAGTCTGACTGCTCTATCCTCCTCTCAGAGGAGAGCATATAGGCTGAGTTTGCAGGGCAGTGAAGCCTAGTCTCAGAATGTAAGCACTATCAGATTCTCATTTTCTTTATTCCTAGAGTTGGTGAATGCGAAGATCACCCTCAGGTTCAGTGATTTGCAGGAGGCCTCTCATGACCCAACATGTAATCCTCCTGATTACTGTGATTTTTTTTTACAGCAAAGGGATAAAAAAAATGAAATCCACAAAGGGGAATGGTGCATGAGGTAAAGTCCAGGGGAACCCAGGAAGAAGCCTCCAATAGTCCTCTCCCAGCAGAATCACATAGGACATGCTGAATTCCCCTGGTGTGAGTTTTGACAACAGTGTGCAACATTCTCATTACAACGTTCTCAAGGAAGCTCATTAGAAACCCCATGTCCAAGGTTTTGGTGGGGCCTGGTCATGTCATCACTGTCTGCCTGGAACATACCAAAATTCCAGGCTTCTAGAAGAAAAGCACATATTTGGTATGAACCATATTGTTTGTACAAACAATATAGGCACATTGAGTCACTCTCATCAGTTAGGGTGGTAGGAACCCTCCTGAAATCCAACTTCCCAGATGCCAGACAAGACAAAATTTTTGCAAACAGGCCTTTCTAAAGATAGCATTTCCAGGCCTGCTCTGTTAAATCTTTCCTGCACGGTTCTTCTTTTCCTTTCACTAGAGAAATAGTTTTATTGAACTACAGTCTGAGGTATTGAGCTTAGATAAATTTCTGTCTGAAAGCATCTTTTACCTTGATGTCATTTTAAATTCAAATGATTTTACCAAGTGATCCATTTGCTCTAGGGAAAGCAGCAATTCTGGCTAGGCAAAGAAGGCAGCCTGCAGAGAAGAAAGAATATGACTGTCTGTCATCTTCTAGCCTGAGAAGCTGATAGGACAGAATTGGGGCCATTGCTAAAAGCTTCCTTGCATACCTTGTGCAGTGCCTTCAGGGCGAAAGGAAGAGACTTGCCACAAAGACTTTAGTTGCCACCTTCTTCTAAAAGCACAGAATTCTAACATGGCCCTGAGATTTCTGCCCTCTGTGTGCAAGTCCTGTAACAGTGATCCCTTGTGAATAGGATGGAATAGCCATTCCCATGATGATGTAATAGAAGGGAGATTGAGCTCTCTGAAAGCAAAAAATTTTTCCCAACTGCTCACAGAGGAAGAAGAAAGAGAAGTGCTCCCACTGGTCTCAAAGCATTTCACAATGGCTATGTTGTAAACTATCCATGGAAGTTATATGGCAATAAACGATAGTGACCTCTACAAGGTGAGTGATCTCCAGCTGATGGGCAGCAATCAGATGGAGTCATCAGTCCTACAACCACAAGGACCTGGATTTTGCAACAACTACGTAAGCTTGGAAGAAGACCCTGAGACCCTAGGGAGAATGCAGGCTAGCCAACACCTTGGTTTTAGCCCATGGAAAACCTGAAGAAAGAATCCAGCCATGCCTGGATTTCTCTTCTACAGAACTGTGAGATGATAAATGGAAATTGTTTTAAGCAGCTAAGTTTGTGGTAATTTGTTCCACATCAATACAAAACAGGCATTCAGTAAAGTACCAATCTATGACTTAGCCTTGGTTTTTTTTTTATATGTAGGCTTTAAGTTAATTTTTCTGATTTCACTGGCTATAACCAAGCATGTTAAGGAGAGGGAAAAGTGATTGGATGACATGCTTTGGCCATAAATTCACAAAGTCTTATCTGAAACATGTACAAATGCAAAATGTGTGTATAATATTGAGTGGAATCTGAGAAGGTGCAGTCAAAGCATGGCTAATTAGACATAGAACTGCTGTTACAAAGCTGGTTACTCTCCTAATTAAATTTTATGGTTTTGCTGAAGAATTGAAACAAGAAAGTTAAACAGAAAACCATGCCCCCAGAGAACAGGATCGAGAAAGCACCAACCAATTAAATTGTTAATTAAGAGCATAACCATGATTTAAATAAAGTTATGATGGAAGGGGAACAGGTTGCAGGTGAGTAAAATTAGAATCCAAACACCATGTTCTGCCTGCATTTCTTCACAAATTCTTTGTTTGTGCTCTGAAGAAACAGAAATGGCTTTATGCAACATCTCAAAGTTTCTATTATAGAGTTGACACATCCTTGTTGAAGGAGAAATTAATGACATTTCTGTTTCCAGTTTTCTCATCAGAGAGAGATAGGGTAGAAAACTGCTCTGTTTTTCTAAGTTTGTCATTTTTTTTTCTCAAATTGGAGCACAAACTTAAAGATATTGGTTGTTCACCAGGTATCATTGATGGACATGCCAAGAGTCACAAATTCCCATAGAGGAAAACTGTACTTCATCTATACTGTAGAACGGTATTTCACGCCTTTGTTTTGAATGTGGAATTTTCTGTTCTCATCCCAGTATGATCTCCATCTTTCACTCCCAAGTTTTGTTTATTTTTTTCTCCTGTATTTAACTCATGT